TGGACACATATATATGTTGCAACTTGGAATCCAGAGATTTCCCGATGTGCTCTTGTATGACCTGGGAGGAAAATAAAAGAGGACAAGGAAAAGAACTTTCCTCTGGAGTTGTTCTTGGGTGGGTGGGAGGTGGGGTGGGGAGGAAGGACCAATGGTATCAGGAGAACATATCTTGTTCTAATGACTAGTATTCTGATGGTGAAATGAATGGTTCAATCCCCAAACTAGCTCCCAAGCTGTACATTTTCCTAGAACCAAAAAGTTATTTTCAATCTAAGATTTTTTTTAAAAAATCTCTTTTTTTTCCCAAATGTGTTCCCCAAACACCAACAGTTGACTATTAACTTCTCTTGTTTGGGTGAAGGGATGAAAAGGACAGGATGGAAAAGGGGCGGTGGAGAAGCTGCAACCAATTTGTAATATAGGTGTGGTCTAGGAATCCAGAAATCAAAGATGTTCCTGGTCATTACCCTGTTATAATTAATCCTTTTGAATTCTTAGAAAGATTAAGATAATTTACATAAAAAATTTTCTTTATCAAACTCACCTTGTTAATGTACTTGCTGGAGGGAATCCATAGTCTCACTGGAAGTTAATGAGTTCTTAGACTGAAAATTGGAGTGTGTGTAACATATTTGTAGAATTTAGCAGGACTATGTGGGAGGTTAGAATGCTGTAACTATACTGATTACCTAAAAATAAAACTATTTACATGCCAAAATTGATATAAAAGCATTCCTCTGCATGAATAAGAAAATAAACAGTATTCTGAAAGAGGCTGTATAGTCAATCGGTAAAGAATTGTTTCACTGAGAAAGACATAAATGGATATGTAATATCTTCCATTGAAATCCAAGCCATTTTTGTTTTGCAAATGAGATTCAGAAAATTAAACAAATTTACATAATTGCCAACGCATATACTTAAAAATCATAAAAAGATATGCTAAGTTGCTCATATATGTCCATTATAAATATAGTCAGTGACAATAGTTTTAAAACCAAAAGCAGGACACGTAGTCTGCCAAACAGTAGTATGCAATCATTCATTTTGCATGCATCACTTGAGTGCCTACTGTGTACCAGGTACTGTACTAGTTTCTGGGTCTATAATGATGAGCTAGAGAGTCATAGAGGGTGATCATAGAGCAGAACATTTAAAATTGAAACTGCCTCAGAAAATACAGATGACTGATTGCTGTAATTGTACATCATGACTCATTGAATATTACAAATTTTGCTATGTCCTTTGATTGAATTTAATGAGTAACTTTTCCAATGTGACAAAATGTCAGTATTTATACATAGGTTTCCACACGTGGTTTATGGGCTTTCGTTAATGTTAAGTCCCTGAAGCCTGCAATTTAGAAATGGCTTACATTCCAGAACTTTGTTTACAAGTCACTTGTTCAGTGGTTGGTTTCCAAAGCCAATCAACAAAAACCTATTTAATCTAAAAAAGTAGCTGAAACAAGGCACCGGCCGTATAATTAAAACTAACCACTAGGTTTAACACTGTGTCTAAGGTTGAGGGCATGCAAAGTTCACTTTGTGATTCCAGAAGCACGTTTGTCCTAGAAGCAGCATGCAGATGGAGTGGGTACATTCCCCTAATTCCAAGATAATCAAGGCAGCTATCACCTAAACAGGGGCAGGGCCAGGTTTGTGGTGGCCTGCAGGTTATAACATGTGGGGGCCTTCTCTAAGAAAAAGATACACTGATATGAATACCATTTAGACACGGGACCTTGGAAGAGAGCTGTGTGAAGACCCCTGGAGTTTAAGCTTCATTGGCATCTCAGTAAATCTGCTCCTATGCCTGTGATGGGTAGGATAAGGGTAACAATTAATGGGTGGGAGATTGGGCAGAGGCGGTGAAGATGAGTGGGGAGCAGTTAAAGGAGGAAGAGGGATAGACACCAAGACCTTCATAAAGTCAATGCACGAAGATGGGACATTGGGGTTGCTTGTTCCCGTGTCAGGGATAATGTGGCTAGTCAGGGCTAAGGATACCTTGTTGGAGAGGCAGGCCTTTAGGGTGGCAAGAGGGGGCCGTATGTGGGACATTACCAGGGTCAGTGAAAGGATAGGTGGCATTGGCCCAAAGGGTAAAAGATGAGAGATGAGGATGGGGACAGATTCTACAGCTGAAGTGGGATGGAGTTCAGGAAGTCAGCTTCACTCCATATTGATGTGTTTAGAGGGTAGAAGGATTGGGTCAGCATGAAGGAAGGGGTTTTTGAGGGAAGAACGGAAATACATTCTCACCCGCAGCAGATGGAGGAAAGAAATGACAGGTGCAGGGGTGGTGAGGAAGGGTGGGGTCCCACCGCATCCAGAAGGGCAGTGATGTGAGAGCCATGCGTAAGTCAGAAGCCTTGCGTCAGGCACTGCCTGTCATCATGAAGAATGATACAGCTCACCCCAGGCCAGAATGTAATTTGGATAACTTATGAATTGAGAAAACCCAATCATTTCAGATGAGTTATAGCCATTTGTTAGCAAACTCTCATGAACTTATAAATCAGTAGTCATTAGGCTTAGGTTAGACTTTAGTGAGTACCCTGAGGTGACAAGAGAGATGCAGAGGATCTTTAAATAAAGGCCACTGGCTTGGTCAAGAATAATTCCTTCCTGAGGAACAGGGGGAATGGGATTTTGATTTCTTATGCTAGAACTGCTTGAAACAAAGCCAGTTGAGAAATGGAGAGTCTGTATTTGACTCCATATAATCATTCCCCACTAAAATCTCTGTTAGGAAGAAGCTCTGAATCTGAATTTACATAGCTCAGCCAGTGACTGACGGAAAAGTCTGACCAGAGGAATTTCCACGTTTAATGCCCTATGTTTTGGTTTTGAAAAGAATGCAGAAGCTATTATTCCCAAGTAGGTAGCTACAAATAGTGTCACTGAAAAAGCCATCTACAGCATTGGGCAATGTAAGGAATGGCAGTTGTGAAATATAGGGGTGGAGTGCAAAAAAACTACATGCTCCGTGTGTTTGGAGTTCTGCAATCTGAATCCAAGATCATATACTCTACAAAAGAGTCCTGAGGGCAGGGGACTGCAAAGCAAGAAGATAGAAAATGTGTACTAGTGAAGTGTATCAGTCAGGCTCTTTGACCAGAAAAACAGAAGCCATTCCAGGTTTATCCAGCAGAGGAAATTTAATATAGGGAATTGGAATCATAGGCAATGGAAGCACTGAGAAGCCAAACATGGCACACAGGGAGGAATTCCAGAGGTTAGCAACAAGAGGAAGCTGTTAGCGTCTTAACACTGGAGAGACAATCAGAGGAAGTGGCATTATCAGAGTCCAGGAACCAGGGTCATTCAATGGGAGCCAGAACCATAGTAGAGGCTTCCCTATTGGAGCTGAGACCATGTAACTGGTGCTGGAAATAACTCAGGGAATAGAGAAAAATACCCTGATTGGTTTCTTTCTTCCTTTCATTCTTTACTCTAGTGCTGTTGCCTTCCATTGGTTGAAATTAGGTGGAAACCAGAGATCAAAGAAGCCTGACCAGTGTAGTCTCCTACAACCAAAACAGAGTACTGGATTCATAGGAGAGCAAACTGGATGTGGACTGCACGTTGCAAAACATTTAAATTTTGTATAATACAGAACATTACCAAACTACCTTGGAATTCGTAACTCTTATATTATCAGCCCTGTATGATTTCCAGAAAGTGACTAGAAAATGTTACCATATCCCCAATGAAATGCCTGAACTTAACTTTCACTCTTTTTAATATAAAAATTATTTTTGAAAATGTAATACAGGGGTATAAAACAAAAATTCAAAATTATGTAAGTATAGGAGGTGAAAAGTCTCAGCCACACCTCACTGCCCCTGGCCACTTGATTCTCTCTGTCTCTCTTTTTAAACCCCATCAATCCTTTTTATTGTTATGTCATAAAGAGGTATCAAAATTAAAAGCAAAAATTACAGGGTATGACTTCACATAACTACTAGGCAACCTCCCTGACCAGTTATTTTGTGTACGCTTCCATGTACGTATACATCTATGTCTACGTTTATATGTCTGTCTACCTATGTGTACATCTATATGCATATCCATATGTTAACCTATAGCCATCATTTTTCTATATGTGGAAGATAAATATGACCCCTATGCAAATGGCAGCATACTATAGGCACTGCTCTGCTGACCTACACTTTAGCACCAATGGGCACTTACTAACTGAATACCTAAGATATTTTTTCTCTTTGGAAATAAAATGGGTGTGCCCATTGGGTCAGATGTGTACCCAGATGATGAAGAGCTATAAATCATAAGGCTTGCAGACATCCAATGTTCAACTAGTCATGCAAAGAATTCTCCAAGGCAGTAATTCAGCAGACATTTTGTCAGGTCTGTCAGAATGATTCAAGGCTATGGAATGACTCATTGGGGCTTGAGTTAAATAATCTTAGCTTAATAATATCACTTGGAGCAAAGGTAAGTCGAAGATTTAAATCCTGGTAGCTCAGTATTTCATCTGGACACTGACAGAGTAATTCTCTGTCTAGCAACAGTGTCAGGGTCAAAAAAAAAATCCCCAGGTGTCTCATATTGTACACCAAGATAATGTCCACATGGTTAAAGAATTTGCATATATGTATATGTTTATGTACATGTATATATACACACACAAGTACATATATTCACACATATTACATACGTACACTGGAAGGAAATACATTTGAAAATTTCTCACATCTCTAGGGCAGGGTTACCTTATAAGCTTAGAAATGATAGAAGAAATTACAAAGATAAAAAATTGAATTAATTATAAGAACTTTAATATGTTCTGTACATAAAAACACAAGAACACAAAAAATAATACACTGGGGAAATATTTTAAACAGATATGGCAGATAAAAGGATGATACCTTAACTATATAACATATGCATGTGAGGTCAGATAATGTGGTGAGACCAAGAGCCTTAGCCCTGATGTGGGTCTTCCCATGATGTGAACCACTTAGGCCTTAGTTTCTTTATCTATAAAATGGTGGCAACAGTTATCAGGGCTTTGTGAGGTTGCATTGTGAGATGTCTTTATAGTATTTAGCACAGTGCCAATTGATAAACAGTAGGATTTGCTATTATTGTTACTACTAATAAAAGAAGTTAGATAAATAAATGGAGGAAAGACTGAAACAATCAATTCACCAGCTGCAATGAATAAACTAACACAAGGGAAATGTTCAAATTTATAATTTATTCCAAAAATACATTATTCAACTTTTGCCAAAATAGTTCAAAAAATTAACACCCAATATTAATGAGGACAGAGTAAAACCAAAACACTTTTTTTTTGTGGCAATAATATTAGAACTATCCTTTGGAAAATAAAATTGGCAATGTATATTACGAGCCAAAAAATGTTTAAATTCTTGTTTAACGTGATAATTTTGCTACTTAGAATTTTTCTCAAAGATGTGATCCAAAGAGATAATATATTATAAACTTATTCATTTCTGTAATAAGTTATTTATGAATAAAGTCCAAAGCAGCCAATATGTGTAATTACCTTCTGGTACAATGATTAAATGTAAAAGCATCAATACCACGATACCAGATGATAGATATTTGCATCAGAATGGAAACTCATATACTATGGTTATCTAGTTTATACTAAAAATATAATATTTAAAATTAAATGATTATGTATCAACATTCTTACTAATTTTCCATTTGTATGTTTTCCACATATTTAGGTCCATATTAAAAGCCTAGAAAACAATATGCAGAAATAAAAATAGTTGTGTTTGGGTGATCCAGTTGTGAGTGATCATTTTTCTTTCTCTCTTTTTCAGTCCTTTAGCATTTCTTTAAAGTGGCTTTTTAATTACAAAAGCAATGCATGCTTATTGTTTAAAAAAAAACAGGTCAACATTGCAAAGGTATCTAAAGAAGAAGTAAACGTGCTCCAGTCGTCCCTGCCTCTGATTTTCTCCTCTCCCGTCTCTATTTTCTCCCATCAAACCTCATTTCTTTCTTCAGAGATGACCATTTAGGAATATATCCTCCTGGATTCTTCTTAAACTTTTACACACACGTATGCATTTGCAAGAGCACCGCACACGTCTTTTCTTACGTTAGTGGGATTCCTACTATTCCCTAACTGGCTGTTTCAGCTTCATCTCTCTCTCTCTGTCTCTCTCTCTCTCTCTGTCTCTCTCTCTCTCTCTCGTGTGTATATTATCTAATGCTTTGTCAGTTCAAATAGAATTGTCTTACTATTTTTAATGAATGGCTACATTACATTCCATAATATGAGCATACACCAGTTTGTTTAAGCAACTCACTAGTAATGATTTTTTTGGTGTAGTTTCCAATTTTTTTGCCTTTGGAGACATTGCTGCAATCTTGTACTCTTCCTAGGTATCTGCGAGTGTTTCTGTAGGATAGATTCCTAGAACAAAATTGCTGGGTCAAAGATTCAACATCTTTTGAATTTGCATATTTAAATTTCTGCTAGTTACTCCATATTGTGAAAAGAATTTATCAACTTATATTTCCAAGAGATTTTTTGTTTAAAGAAAGTAGAAACAGAAGTCCCATGAAACCAATATAAGACACAATTGTATGTGCCTACATCCAAGTGATCTTCACCCTAGAAGTAGGTCGTTTAATTTTGGTTTTACTCTTTCAGAGATCCTCATGTGTTTGGCTCACTCATGATTCTACCATCTCCCATGCCCCATTGTTTTAAAAAGAATATTTGTGACTATCATCCGTTCAGAATGCCTATTTCTGGGCAAGGTCCTAGAAATGGAAATGAATTGGCTGGAGCATGTTCAAGATTGATAGCTTTGTAAATTAAGCTAATTTCTACACCCTGTTTCGGGGCGTGGTTGTGCCGTTGCCTTGGCACTGACATCTAGTCTGTGCTCCACTCAACAAAGAACCTGTGCCCTGGGTGCAGGCAGGGGAGGGCAGAGTTCACCCAGAGGAAATAGCTCCTTTTCAAGTTCAAAGTGCTTTGGAGTTTCAGCTGCCCTCATCATTCATAGTTAAAAATTTCTTTATTTTACTGATTCTTTAGCCTTTATTTAACTGATTTTATGGATAGAGCTCATCCTATTAAAAGGATAACAATTTTATATTAACAATTAGCCCTAGAATTTAAAATATAAGTACTGTTCAAGCAGTTGAGAATTTGGCTGAGGTGAGAAAACGTTCTGGTGAGCTAAGGACCCCAATGAGCATTCAAACCATTAGATAAAGAACTATAATTGAAAATACAGACAGTCTGATTATTTCCATATCATTGATAGATTGTGGACAATTAGAAAAATTAACTCCGACAGATAAACTTGCAAGTAATGAAATAAGATGGAGCTAAGATACACTGAGCGTATAAATGCTATAGCTGTTGAGTATGGTTCCAATGTTAAATCTTTTTATTTTTTCTCAAGTCCTAATTGAGATATTTTCCAGCAGATATAATTGTTGCCATACAATGGATGTTAAACAAGATATGTCACCTCATCTGTAATTAGGCACAAGTAATAAGAATTTCAGTGGTTAGCTGTCTGATAAGTTGTGGATGGTCTTCTAATTTAGGAAGCCATCTACATTACTCTTCACATTGTTTTAACTGGAACAAACACAGTGTGTCTGCAAAAGCAGTCAGTAGTGAACAATTAAGGAAAACATGGAGCATAGAGATGAAGAAATGGTGTACACAGATTGGGTAAGGATCTCACAAAAGTCTTAGCATGAGTTAATCTCTTGGGCCCAAATAGCTTCAAAAGAGGTTAGGTTAGACCTGTAGAAAGGGAGGAGGAAAGGAAGGAAGGGAAGAAGGAAGGGAGTGAGGGGAGGAATAAGAGAGGGGTAAGGGTTGAGCAAAGGTAGGAGCAAAGAAGAAAGAAGGAAGAGGTAAGGACAGACTTGCTGAGAGAAGGAGGGGGTTACCTGGAGTTTCCAGGCTAAGGACATCATCTTTTGGGGATATCTTTATGGAGGCACAGTAAGAGCAGCATATCTGTGGGGTGATTCCCTGGTTAACTGAGTGTAGTCTACATGTTTTTATCTAGAAGATATAGACCTGAGGTTAAACCCCAGATCACGATAAGACGCCCAGCACTTAGCAATATGCAAGACAAGGAGCTCAGTTGCAAGGACAGTAAAAACAGTTAACATTCATGAGGTCTTTATGGTGAACCGGAAACTGTACTAAGTGCTTGTACACGTTGTGTAATGCAGTCTGGACAATATGCCGTTTGAAGTAGACGTGGACTTGTATTTATTACCCTTATTATACAGTTGCAGAACCTGAAAAATAGAGAAGTCAAGGAACTCGCCCATGGTCGACTAGCTAGGCAATGGCAGTCACGGAGACATTTTGACTCCCATGCAGATTTATTATACGGTATCCCCATCCCAAGGACATCCTAACCCTTGATGTACTCAAGGAGCAAGCTGAACCCATTCACCTACTACGGCTTCCCTTTTCCATGAACATAAACTACATGTGACATCACCTTGGAAGGATAGCTTTGAGCTGTACCGCTTCTGTGCATGTGGCAGCCTGCTTAGCATTCTGCAGCCTCCAAGACCCTTTGCCGGAACATCAAAGCAGATTTTGCGCTCCTGGGAAAGAACCATCCTCCCTCAATCACGGAGGTCAGTGGAAACACTGTGAGTCTATAATCCATGACACACAGTGAGGGAGGAAATGACTTTATCTGTGGGGCTGAGGCCCAGTGATAAGGAGCAGTATAAACGGGGTTTTTTTCTTTCTTCATGGTTGGCAGGAGACCAATCGAGCTGCCATCAGCTCCTCCCATGGTGAGAGACTTAAAAAAAAAAAGCTATCTCAGCCAGCAGGTAGAGTATGAGAAGTGACCGACCTGCACAGCCTTCTGCCAGGTACGTTATACACAGACTGCCTCTAGCAGTCCCTTTTGCGGGGGCTGTGTGTTTCCCCTTCTCTTAATATTTTCTTAATGTTCTCGGATGGACAGTAAAGTGTTAATGTGGTACAATGCCCGCTCCACGGAGAAGGGCTTAATTCTGAATGGTCTCCCCTCCTCCTTTAGGCTAGGATGCCTGTGGGTCAACATTTGAGATACACTTAGACTGGATGCAGCTGAACAAGGGAGTACCTTGCAACGAGCTAGTGATCTGGAAAATGTTCACGACGCCTTGTTAAGTGAAAACAGCAGCTTATAAAACAGCAATACACTTGAAATATGCACAGAAAAGACTGAAAGAGTAGATACCACAAAGTTTACAGTGGGTACCTCTGGAAGGTGGGAATACGAGTGATTTCTTTCTCATTTTATTTTTTATTCAAGCATTATTTATTGAGTGGTTAGCATGATCGAGGCATAATAAATTCTCAATAAGTGTTTTCTTTTATGTTTTAAGACACACATGACCTATGAATATCTGTTTCTTTTGTAATAAGAAGTAAGCTATTTTTTCAAAGTCTACCTCGTACCTATGAAGAAAAGTTTTACCTCCTTTGAAGAAAATCCAATGCACAAAAATCCCCAACTTACATACAAATAAACTAGGAAATGACCATTCATTTTACAAATGAGATCACCACATGATTCTTTTAAATAGAATGCTCTCTAGCACTCAATATTCGATTCAGTTTGCAAGAACTTGCCTCACTAATGAGGGAAATGTAAATTCAAACTTTGTATATTGGGTTGAAATTATTTACAGGCCTTTTGGTTTAGCTTTTTAATCCAAGTTAGAACCAATAAAAGAGAAAAGTAAACTAAGCTGATGAAACGTTCTTGTTGGTGGACCACAGAGACACAGATTCTGTGCACGTAGCAGAGGTGCCCTCCTGCCTCCCAGCATCTCTAACAGGCTCGGCAGGCTGGACTGGCTGCAGGGCCCTCTGCTGCTCCTGCCCACCCCCCAACCCTTCCCCCTGCTCCTATAAGCCTGGTTCCTTCCTTTCATTTTTATTGCCTACATTGGAGGCCAGTGGGCTGATGGCATGGCCTAACGCTGGTGCACGAAGAATAGAATAAAATGACCTCACCATTATCAAAGTTAACCATAGGACCTGAGCATCAATCAGAACGGGTTTTCTGTGGTCCAAGAGGCCACAGGAGGCCTTGGGGAGAGGGAAGTGTGTGTGTTGGGTGCTGAGACCCCGTACTCTACTCCTAAGGGGATGGAAGGAGTAAAGGGTTGAGGGGTAGAAACAAGGGTCCCCCTGTAACCAAGAGCAGTAGCGAGGAGAGGCAGACCAGGACCAGTGTGCCCTGGAGAGTGCCTTGGGGTGCCTGTTAGACATCATTTCTCTCCAGTTCTTATCATGTGGCAGGCACCAGGCTAGCGTGGCAGATACCACTGTTGTGCCTCTCAAGTGGCTTCCAGGGCAGGGCAAGGTAAAGCTTATACAAGTACACACATCCCATACCTTTGGAGGGAGTAAGCTGAGGGCTGTGTGTGAGAGAGGAGAGTGAACAGAAAGTCTGAATATATGTAGGAGCCTTTTTGTGGGAGGAAAATGTTTCCCAGATTGGATGGCATTCAAAGGGGTCAAGGATTTGACAGGCAGAGGAGGGGAGAGGGATATCAGTGGATGCACCAACCTGAGCAAAAGCACAGAGCTAAGAAAACTTATGTGCTCCGGTCTGGTGAGAGTGAGAACGGAGACACCATCTGTGTCCATGGAAGGGAGATGCCAGCTATACCAATCATAGTTTGTGTTTCGTTTGGTTTTGCCAAACTATAGAAAAAGATATATGTCTCATGAGCATCTTTTTTGTTCTTTGTTTATTTTTTTAAGTGTTTTTTTTTTTAGTATATTTCCTAAGTTGTGCAACTATCACCACTATCTAATTGCAGAATACTTTCAACACCCCAAAAAGAAACCCCTTACCCGCTGGCAGTCTCTCCTCTCTCTCTAACCACTGGCAATTACTAATCTACTTTCTGTCTCTATGAATTTGTCTATTCCGGACATTTTATCTAAATGGTAGATTTTATATAACATGTGGCCTTTGGTGTCAGACTTCTTTCACTTTTACAGGTTCATCCATTTTGTAGCATCTGTCAGAGCTTCATCCCTGTTTATGGTCAAATAACATCCCACTGTATGGATACACCACATTTTGTTGATCATTCATCCGTGAATGGACATTTGGGTTGTTTTCACCTTTTGGCTATTGTGAATAACACTGCTATGAATATTTGTTTACCTATAGGCATCTGTCTTAGTCAGTTCAGGCTGCTGTTTAGAAAACGATGTACTTATAAACAACAGAAATTGATTTCTTATAGTTCTGGAGTCTAGAGTTCCGAGATCAGGGTGTCAGCATGGTTGGGTTCCAGTGAGGACCTCTTCTGGGTTGCAGACTATCATCTTCCTGTGTCCCCAAGTGGCAAAAAAGAACTAGAGAGCTATCTGGGGTCTTTTTATCAGGGCACTAATTCCATTCATGAGGGCTCCAACCCCATGACCGAATCACCTCCCAAAGACCCCACTTTCTAATACCATCACTTCGGGGGTTAGGATTTCAACACATGAATTTGTTTTGCGGGGATCGGGGGAGCAGTGGGGAACAGACTTTCAGTTCATAACAGCATCTTCAATAAATGCATGAGAGTACCCACTTGAACAACTGACGTTCCAAGTATTTTCTTCTCTGTCAAAGAATCTGGAGGTCCTCCTGGGGCTTCCCTCTGGCTCAGCCCTCAAGAACTGACATAAACTTTTTGAGGGCCAACTTGTTGGTTTGTTCTTCTTGCAGGCTCTGGAGTGAAACGATTTCTGAGTTCCTACCTGGTAGTTTCTTAACCTAAGATCAGGCGTCTCTTCCTCATTCCACATACAAACAAGGCTCAGGCTGCCACCTGTCTGTGCCAAGCTGGCTTGTTATTTTACAGGCGAGATACCAGTTCTCATGCACCCTGCCCTGCCCTGCATGGCTGTATTTAAAGAGGCAGGATTTCCACCCTGCTACATCAGAGGAGAAAGAACTCAAAATCTGTGGCATTCTTAAACTGTCATTAATGCACGAGAAAGTTACCTACTTATTTTAAGCAGAGAAACATTCAAAGCTATTATTTTTTTTAAAAAAACCTCACTGTATAATACTCAAAACTGTATTTTCGTTCTTTCAGGTACAATTTTGAAATGTATCTAATATGTGAACTTGAGTCTGAGGTAAGTAAATCTTGGCCTGAATCCACAGATCACTTCTTACAACTATTCTTCTTTCTTCTATGTTTTCTTTCAACCCCCCTTGTCCCAACCACATCTTTCTTTCCCCTATTCCCTTCTCAATAACTATAGATCCTTCTCTCTAAAAGTTCCCAAATCATAGCCTCCCTTCTTATACTCTCTTTCCAAACCACAGCCCCTGGCCCTTTCTTTCTAGTTACCTCATCCTCCAAACCTTAGACCTCCTTTTCAAAACTTCTCTTTAAACTCATTTCCCAAACACCGTCTCTTTCCCAAAATCAATGTCCCTAAGCTACAGTCCACTCCCTGAAACAAAAGGAACACATGTACTGTCATTCACCAGCAGGGCTGGGACTGATTCTGGGAGAGGGGTATCCGGGTGTTATGACCTGTGGAGGATGTGGAGAAAGGTGAGGAGGTTGCTGTGGACAGAGACGTGAGAACCATGATTTAGTGCCCCCTGGATAAGTCCCAGGCTGTGGGCAGCTCCCTTCACTTGGCTGGGGTTTGATTTTTCTCATCTGGCATGTACTCAACCTCTGGCTCATAGGAGGCTCTCAGCAATAATATTTATTGGCTTGATTAAGTGGTCGGATGAAGGGCTAGCATGAGGTGACCTCCCAGCTCCTTTCAGCTCTCTGTAAAATGCTAATACCCATGTAGTCAAGATGAAGAGGATCAGGGACCTTGGAAGTCTGAATTTCCTGACCAGTTACCTCCATTTCGTTCTTCACTTTGCTTGTGCAGATAAAGTCTTTTTTTTGTCAAGGAGAAAAATAATTAGAATTTTACTGGGGAGAGATATAAGACAGTTTCTTTCCCCTTAGGACTCCAAACTCCTTGACTGTCTATCTGTCAGTGGGCTACTAATGAAAATAGCTTTGGTTCCATGGGAAATAACTATGAGGACAATGAGATCCAGGGATGTGAACTAGGAGCACGGGATGTCCAGCCAGGATCGTTCTAAATCACTCAAAAGGCACCAATGAAAGGGAAATGCCTTTGTTAATACATGTTTGTTGATTGATTAAACTGGATGTACCTCTAATGAAGATATCTTTTAGCTCTAAGCTTATATTCCAGGGACCAAATGTAAATGGACATGCTGGTTTCAATGAACAAGTAACCCCTTCCAAAAGTTCTAAAAAATTTTAAAAGTCAAGATGGATCATAGATAGAAATGTAAAAAGTTAAACTATACTTTTAGAAGAAACCAGAAAAGAAGATTTTATTACTTTGGATTAGGCAAAGACTTCTGAGATAAAACACCAAAAGCATCATCCACAGAAGAAAAAAATTGATATATTGTTCTTCAAGAAAATGTAAAACTTTGCTCTATAAAAGACACATTAAAGGTGATATCACTTATGTGTGGAATATACAAAAATAAAACAAGCATTAATATAGCCAAAAGGAAACAGAATCACAGAGAACAAACTAGTGCTTACCAGTTGGGAGAGAGGAGGGGAGCAAGATACAGGTAGGAGATTAAGAGGTACAAACTATTATGTGTAAAATAAATAAGCTACATAGATATGTTGACAGCATAGGGAATAGATATTTTACAATAACTATCTCAAAAAAGACACACTAAAGAGAATCAAAAGACAAGTTACAGACTGGGACAAAATTTTTAGAACTCACATATCCATCAAAGAACTAGTATCCAGAATATATAAAAAAGCTTTTAAATTTAACAATAAGAAAGCAAACATTGCCAGTAAAATGAGGCAAAAGATTTGAGCCCATACCTCACCAAAAAAAGGTATATAGAAAGCAAATGAGTACATGAAAATATGCTCAAAAGTATGTTAGTCATTAGAGAAATATAAATTAAAGCCACAAGATACTGCTACACACTTATTAGAATGGCTGAGAATAAAAACGAAATTGATACTTCCAAGTGCTGTCAAGGATGTGGACGAACTGGAACTTTCAGACATTGCTGCTAAGGAAGTAAAATGGTATAGCCATACTGGAAAACAATTTGGCAATTTCTTATGAAATAAAAGTACACAAACCACATGACTAGGAGTCCCACTCCTAGGTATTTTTACCCTAGAGAAATGCAACACAAGTTCACACAAAAACCTATATCCAAACATTTATAGAAACACTATGATTGCCAACAACTGGAAACTACAGTTTCAAATGATTTTCAAATGCATCCTGCTAAGTGAAAGAAGCTGGAACCAAAACGTTACAAAATGTGTAATTCAATTTATATGACATTCTGGAAGAGCCGAAACTATAGTAGACATTTGCAAGAGCCTCAGAGTTGGATGATTCTTCCAAAGGGGAAGAATTAGGGACATAGGGATATTTATGAGGGTGAGGAAATTGTTCTGTATCCTGACTGTGGTAATAGTTACATGACTTTATGCATTTGTTAAAACTTACAGAACTGTGCACACACACAAAAGAGGGCGTGTTAATTTATTGTATGCACTGAAAAAAAAAGTTCTGCAAGTAACAAAGGTGAAAAAAATTATTGTCAGGAACTACCTTCAGCTAGTCATGAGGCTTTAATTTTTACCCAAAATAATCCTGTTTTTGGTCTTCAACTAATTGCACAATGAATATAAATGAACGTTTGACGTACTATATACTATATTGACATAGTAGCTGAGGTGACCCTTAAAGACATTCCCAAACAAGAGGCAGCTATATCCCCCTGCCTTTCCCAGTGAAGCTATCTGGCACTCGAGATCCTGTGACCTTGGGAGAATTATGACTGCCCAGCCAAACAAAGCGTTGATAACACCACGCCCTGCACTTTTCACCTGAGCAAATGTCCCCAAGAGCTCATGCGCGTCATCTGCCTCCGTGAGTATGCTGGCCTGAATGCAGAGTCCACAGGAAGCTTCCACAACCTCCTGGCCAAACCTTCCCTGGCCTTGCTGCACGGATTAGCCCCTACCGTGATGACAGGTGAGACCCAGCCCGGGCACTGCCCCTGGGCTGGGCTCACCTGGGACAAGCCGGATTTAGTGCTCCGTTTCTTTCCTTCACAAAGCCTATCTGTAACTCCGTGACCATTCATTGTTTAGAAATTAAAGGTCTGCTTGAGAGTCTTTTGTGCCCCTGCCAAGCCCATGACAGGCTATTGCTACTGATGTTCCCCTGCCAGCCCAAGGCTTCATTCTGAGGCCCTAGGGAAGTGACAGAGAACTTCAGTGCTCACATCCCACACTTAACCTCTTTAGTTCTTTGATGACCACCCTCCTGAAATATCATCAAAGCCCCAGGGGAACATCTTAGAGTCCTGGCTGCCCAGGAGAGCTTTTGTGTTTTGATAGTCTTCCAAAGTTTATGGTATGAAGTACTCGTGCTCCATTGGAGTCTGTCATATGTCTGGATAATGAATACGTCTCAAAAAATGTAACTAACAGAAGTTCCAGTTGCACTTCCAAGGCTAATAGAATTGTGTTCTCTCTCTCTCTTCCCTCTCTTTCCCCTCAACTGCCACAGCAAATATTAAAAGCGGACATGCCAAACTTGCTATCCTGCAGAAATTACCAGGGGTCCTGGCCTTGAGGAGAATCTAATGCAAGAAGACAGGCAGAACAGGGAAGCCTAGAAAGACTTAAAGTTGGCAGGAAAAAATTCACAGCTAATTTGGGGGCTAAACAGGAAAGTAGTTCAGCAAAATGTGGACAGCATTTCCCCAGCGCTACAGCAGAGGAAGGGGCCTGCGGATACGTGAGGGGAGCTGCCCTGGCCACCTCAGCCTTCCTCTCTTAGGCGCAGCATTCAGCAACAACCAAAACACCCACCAGGAAGAGGGCCAGTCCCTGCCCCAGGACGCACGTAGCTTCACCCTGTTCATACCAGGTCTCCAGCAACACCAGGGCTTACTGTTAATTTTTAAAATTTTTATTTGGATTGCTCATGATTCCCTTTTGCTACTTTTATCAGCTTTGTGCCCTGAAATTTCCCTTTGCCTGGCATGGACTCCCTGTGCCACAGCTGACAGGGAACTAACGTGGCCTTTCTCTCAGGAGTGGGACGGGAGTCAGCCGTCTGAGGTCGTATTGACTTCTTCCTGAGCTAATCATTCTATTGATTTTTAAACACTTGCTTTCTAAATGAAATGTAATCCTTATGTTTTTCTATCTCATTTACACTTGATTTAAGAAAGCCCTCCTTTACAATAGTCAAGATATGGAAGCAACCCAAGTTGTCCATCAACAGATGAATAGCTAAGAAGATATGGTGTATATATATAAAATGGAATATCACTCAATCATATAAGAATGAAAATTTACCATTAGCAACAACATGGACTAACCTGGAGGGTGTTAGGCTTAATGAAATAAGTCAGACAGAGAACGGCAAATACTGTATGATATAACTTATATGTGGAAACTAAAAAACACAACAAACTAGTGAATATAGCAAAAAAGAAGCAGACTTAAAGATATAGAGAACCAATTAGTGGTTACCAGTGGGGAAAGAGGGGGTGGTCAAGACAGGGGTAGGGGGTTAAGAGGTACAAACTACTATTATAAAATAAATAAGCTACAAGGATATACTGTACAGCACAGGGAATATTATCAATATTTTATAATAACTATGAATGGAGTATAACTTTTAAAAAATTGTGAATCATTATGTTGTACACTTGAAACTTACGTAATATTGTAAAACATCCATACCTCAATTAAAAAATATCCCTGCTCTGCACCCAGTTCTGGGAGCTGCCACCAGAAAGTATAGCGTAGCATCTGTGCCTCATCTTTTCTGAAGTACGAACAATTTTTTTTCACTTTATCTTTTTAATTTTGTTTTTTTGTTGACGTGTAGTTGATTTACAATGTTAGTTTCAGGGGTTTAGCAAAGCGATTCAGTTATACATGTAGATACATATATTTTCAGATTCTTTTCCATTATAGCTTATTACAGGAAATTGAATATAGGTTCCCTGTGCTAAAGTATGAACAATTTTTTTAAAATGATACAACCTTGTTGTTTTTCTTTGTTTTTTACCAATAAAAAATGTTGTATTAAAAAAAAAAACCTCTTTTCTAAAGAGTCACATAAGTCACGTGATATCCAAATTGCCTTCTAAGGCGTATGGAAGGCTTCCCCTGGAAGACATTTCACGTGGTTTTTCATGAGCCTCTGGAAGTCTTCTGTTTCCGAAGTGGGAAGCAATGTTTTCTCACTTAAAATTGAAAATCCAGTTAAACACACACACACACACAACTTGCAATTTAGGTGAATGCCAAGAAAGTTTAGCTCTGAATTTTCAGCTAACGCCTTTTCTCACTCAAGTATGTGAAAGCATTGAAATTTTAGAATCTAGAAGGAGTCTGCGGTGTACACTAACCATTCATTTCTCTAGCATCAATCACCTCTGACTGTAGCTAGTCACATCACCAGGAAGCCACACAGTTGAATTCTGTTCCTTGCAGCAATGCTGAAGTCATGGGCTCTGGGTCAAACACCCTGCATTTGAATCCTATATTTATTCTCTTAAGTTGTGGTAAATTTTAAATGAGTTAAAACAGGCAAAGCACTTCGTGCAATGCCTGGCTCTCACCAATGAGTCCGCATTAGCTGTCACCTCCAGGCTTTGGCACACTGCTCTTGGCACTTATTGGGAACAATATAAGAAATTGTTTTATCACAGGAAGACATTTTTGCAATTATTGTAAAACTGCTTTTGAAGATACCATTCATTTTGCCTTTCGATGTCCTTTATGGAAAATAATTCATATGAGATCATTCAAGCGAGAAAAACAAATTTAGTTCTCCTGATGAACTAGCAGGCTCCTTTAATAGGTAAATGCAGATAAATGGCTGAGTTTTAATTCTTATTTTATTTTTTGCTTTGGTTGCCAGGAAGTCAGGGTTCATATTCAGTTGCAGTAACAATCCTGAGTTTAGTAATAATAATAGCTAAATAACTCACTTAAAAAAGGCTAAAGTTTGACTGTTTTTGAGTATCATTGTCTGGTTATTTGTACCAGCTCCAAGATAAAAATGAAAGGAGGGCTACAACTGCTAATAAATATGACTGAAATTAATAGGGTCTTTTTAAACCATTGCTCTTTTTCTGTCCCAACTGTGACCTAGTTATATCCTCCTGATGTATACTGGATGAAAGTATAGTCTAACGTTACAGGTTTCAGCAGCTGTTAAAATTACACAGTAATTGTCCATTCACACTGTAGAGTTGCACCATGGTGAATCTGCTCCTAGTGTATAAGGAAGAAAATCAACATTCAGGCAGTAATGAGTACTCAAGAAATCAGATACACACACACAAAATATTCTGATCACCGCTTCCTTTTTCTGCTTATACTCCAGTGCTATTTAAAATATATAGCCTAT